CTGTCGCCCTCTACTGTGAATGAACCCTAAGCCTCGAAATTCCGCTGATTTTTTTAAAATTAATTTTTAATAATTTTTAACTAATTTTTTTTTTAAAAAAATGATTTGGCAAACAGAAAATTAAAATAATTTTTAGATAAACTCCTCCATTGACACACTTATTTAAGGTTACTTTTTTTTAATATAAAGAAGTTATTTAAGAAGGCTAAGTTAAAATTCTAGAAATTTTTTAGGAAGAGCTGTTTAAAACTTTGGGATTATCTTTCTAAGCACACTGCAGATGGAAATTCTGAAATCCATTTTCCACAACCTCAGATTTTCCATCCTAAAACTCATTTATTTTTGGTTCATTTGTTCATTAAAAACGCAAAATTATAAATATCATTATAAAAATAACATCATGTAAAGTTTTCAATTTATGCTAAAGAAAAATATTTTCTTTTATTAAATAGGATTAAAAATTATAAATAACTTGTTATATTTTACCAATATCTTATATCCAAACTACTTTGTATCATTTTTATAGTATGCTATGCATTTTTTTTTTTAAAAACCGTAACCTACAATTACAAATTAGCTATTTTTAAGAGCCAGGGTACTAATATATAGTTTAGTTTCCAATTCTACGCATTAAATATTTTTTTTGGCATGAGAAGTATGTCGTCCCGTTTCGTTCCTTTTCCCCTAATTCTCGTGCGTATTTAATTTCTAAGGGAGGAATATTTAAATTTTTTGGAGGAGAAAAACGAACTTGAAAAACCTATAATTGCTAAATCGGTTTCTTCGTGTTTTCCATCATCAGAGCCGAAAAGAAGGTTAGAACGCGTCTGATTTCTCGCATATCCGCTGAATAAACATTAAACTTGTAAACAGCTTATTGCCGAGATTCCAAATTTAGACATCGCATCATAAAGTAGATTTTCGCGTCATATTTATATTATAAAGAGTCGAACCTCTCCATGTTGCCCCGGACCAAAAGTTATTTCATTGCCGAGATCCATCCGGAATAAAATAAAACCATTTTCCGGCAATCTTTTTTAATCCATCTAAGTAGCTAAAAAGCCTCTGTTGTAAAAAATTTATTTTTTACCGGCTGCTATTAAAGGATTATTTATATTTTATAAGATAGAATATGCTATATTCATTGGTGCCATTTGGTGGCTCAAGTCTCCTGAAAACTTTGAATAACCCTAGAAATTTTTCTCCTTTTTTGAGGTATAAAAGTTTTATTTTTTCTAATTTTGAACGATAGATTTAATACCCATATTCATTATTATCTACTATATAGTGGTAAATAAATTTTTAAAAAATTATATAAGCATTTAAACATTATATAACTTATTTTATAAAATTTGTGATTTTATCTAAATTATATTACATTTAAATTTATATTATTTTTCTCAAACATTTACTATTAAAAAGTCCATTTTTTTCTTATTTTTAATAATAATAATAATAAAATATTTAGATAAACTTTTAAAAAATTGTGAAATAACTTATAAGATCACTGATTCCACTAAACAAATGAAAATGGCTTGCCTGTCAAACAAAAAAAAAATTTATGCCGATTTTTCATGCAAAGGAAAGAAGAAAAAATTTTGAATTATAAAGCAATTATTATTATTATTTTTATCAGTTCACGCAAAAGCCGGAAAGAGAAACCATTGAGGCCCTCTTGCCTCTTCCCCCCCTTACACCCTGTTTATCCATTATCCTTAGACGTTTTTTTTGTAAGGGTCTATTTTCATGGATTTTTTAACCCCCCTACTCTCCACAGACCACTTATATTATTTCGCTCGGAATAAACACGGAAACACTCCGAAGATATAAAAAATGAGCTATATCTCAGAATTTTTACCCAATTTCATATTTTTCAGGCGAAAGATCCCGAAATTATATATTAAAGGATATTTTTTTATTAAAAAATATAATAAAGACGAATTTCTGAACGATTCCTTAATATAAGAATTTCCGGTTTTATATCTGAGCAATTAAAGTTTTTTGATTTCTAAAAACACCTAACTCAATATTTTGGCTAGAAAAATATTGCGTAAGCCCTCGAGATTTCGATAATATATGTATATATAAACCTTTGTTCCTTCTATGAGCAAAATCTTCAGGTTTGCGTAATATTTTTTCTGGATAAAGTATTGAGTTAGCCGTTTATTAAAAATCGGCTCAAAACGAGCCGTTTAACAATTTTATAAGGATATTATTTTATTAGTTTTTTGCAAGCATTTCCGGAGCGGTTAAAATAGGGGCTAATAGGCCTTCGCCTACTATATCAATTAATCGAATACCACCGAAACGTGAATTATTATGAAATTAATACAAATTTTTTTAGTTGCAATCAAGAGTGTTCAATTAACGCAAAATCCAATAAATATTTTTTAAAAAAAAAATATTAGTTAGTTCTTTATATCCTTTTCCTTTTACAACATATTATATATAATCTTTGTTTATTTATGTTATATTTTACCTGTTAAAAAAATATAATCATGATTCGCTATTATTAAGCCTTAAAAAAAATAACCTAGGAACATTTCTAATTAGTTAATTGCGATTCGTTATAATTATTAATATTTATTTTTTTATTTTTATTTTAAGAAAGGAAGAAGAAGAAGAAAAAAATTACATTATTAAAAAGATTTTGTTTATAAATTTAATTTTTATTTATATTACTATAAAAATAGTTATATCTTACATATTTTATATAAACACGCGAAATGCGACAAGTAAGCGAGTGAACGTTGAAGGGGTGGTATATAAGTGAGGGCGACACGTGCTACAAAATATTTTTTTTAATATTTCACGTTTACATTGAAATTAGGCGTATATTTTTTTTTTTTGAATAATGCCTGGGGGACTGGATTATTATCATTATTTTCATTTTAATCAATTCCTCTTTCCATAATTTTCGCGAAAAAAAAATTAGGGATTTTTTTTAAGAAATTTTTTAATTAGCTGGTTAAATTTTTTTTTTCTTGTCGTACAACTATAAGAAACGATTTTTAATAATAAAAAATATATATTATAAAATTATATTTAAAAAAATATACAAATTAGATATTTTATACAATTAACACATTTTATTTTATTTTTCTTTATTAAGAAAACCAAATCTAATTATTTAAGATAAAAATCTGAAAAAAAAAATATATATTGAAATTTTATCATTTTTTTAAGAGAAATTTTTTTTTTTATTAATAAAGAAAATTAATTATATAAAAAAATAATAAAATTTTTAATTAAATTTATCAAAAAAATATATATATTATCATAAGGAAAAGAATATATTTTTTTTAATGTTATAATTATTAATTTTTATTATGATAATTGGCTTTTTTTAAATATATTATTAAAAATTTGGTAAGGAAAAATAATTATGTTTATTTAAAAAAATTGGAAAAGAAAAATTATTTTTAAACAAGATTTATAAAAAATTTCAATTAAAAAAAAAATCCCAAATTTTTATATATATAAAAAAATATAATAAAAAATTGATTGAGTTTTATATATATCTATCAAAAAAAATTAGGAATAAATTGTAATCAGGTAAATGAAAAAAAAAATCGTATTCGAAAATGACCCAAGTGAGTGTTTGCTTTTCTTTAATTCGAGTGAGATAATTATGTTTAATTTTAAGGATTTTGGTGTAGTGTTGTATCATCCAACTTTGGCCATCTCCAAAATGGCAAGCCAAGTTTTTTTTTAAAGACATCTACTACATCTTCAAGTTGAGTCTCAACTAGTGTTGTTAAACGGCTCAGCCAAATATCTTATCCAGAAAAATATTATGCTAGCCTAGAGATTTTGTTCATAGATGACACATGGGATAGAACATCCATTTGGCGAAATATCTACGCCCAGGAAATATTTTCCTGGCTATAATGATGATTTAGCCGTTTTTAAAAATCGGCTCAAATAGAACCGTTTAGCAACACTAATCTCAACCTATAGGTTTAACTTAGTTTTTTTTTTGGCTTAAAAATTTGACTAAGCCGTGTTACTAAGTTAGGTGATTGCAATACTAGATCCTGGGATTATATATATATTATTTTTTTTTATTTGCACAGATAAACCATCTTCTTCTTTTTATTTTTCAATTAATTTATATTATATGATTTGGGCCGGCCCAAGGCCGGGTATGGGCCTAATATCATATTTTATACCGGGCTTAGGTTTTAAAAATTTTTTTTACCGCGGGCTTGGGTCGGGCTTCGTCAAAAAATTAAGGCCCGTGAAGGTCTCTGATTTGAGTAATGGACTCCATCGAGAATTCGGAATCTCTCAATTTTAAAATCTTTTACTTTAGGGGGGATTTCTAAATTTTAGAATTTTTGATTTGACCAGAAATTTATTCCTAGATTGCTGTATAGAGGCATCAATACTGTGAATTTCAGACAATTTTGCTTTCTCACTTTTAAAGATATTTTTTAAAATTTATATTCAACCTTTTAATAATAGATAATTTTACATTAATATAAAAAAATACATCTGTTTCCATTTTTTTTTAAACGGGACCCGCGTAAGATTTCAGCCAAAAATAATATTATGCAAGCCTAGAGATTTAGCAAACCCGATGTCCAGAAATTTCTGCCACTTATGACCAAGATCTCTAAGGTTTACATGATATTATTTTAGTTATAATCTTAATCAAACCGTTTTTTTAAAAAAATCTACCAGAATCGGGCAAAAGTCTAATGCTAAAACTGAAAATTTGTATGGGTTAAGTTTTCCACACATACTAAAATTCATTACCGATCATATCATTTTTTTTTAAGAAATTAATAAATCTTACCTCGGCGAATGATATGGCATTCAAAGATATTCCACATCCCCCGTTAAATTCCATATCTCAATAATATACGACATTATTTAAAATTATTTCCCACCTTTTAAAATCTTTAAGCCCTACATTATGTATCTCTCTGACACCATATTTATATGATTATGTTAATTTTTATTAAAAAAGATACTTTTTTTAAAAAAATTTGTAGGGAAAATAATTGTCGACAATTGCCCCCAAATCAAGAGGAAATGAAAATGTTCTTCCGAATTGTCTGATCAGGTTAACAAAATAAATAGATTCGCATTATCAGTTCACTTACGCGTTTGTCAATTCGCGTATATTGACAATATATAATTTAAAGAATAAATTCGAAAGTTAACCGCCAAATTAACTGAAAATTTATTGGATGAGTATTCTGCACGTGCTGACATTCATTCATTTTATTTGGGGAAATCAGATTATTATAAATAAAAAAAACTAACACTTTAAACCAGAGGATTTTGTTAATTTTTCCCAGATTTAAATATTTGGTTTAGCACTTCTAATAATCTAATTTTTCCCAAAAAGTGGTTTTTACGGTATGTGTAGAAAACACATCATATAAATCTCCGACATGTTACCCGAGTTTACTAACGCAATACTCGTATCGATTTGATTATTGCGATTTGACTGTTAACTTATATATATATTTTTTTAAATTTAAAATATAATGCCATGAAATTTATATTCTATGAAATCTCTAAATTATTTAAGTTGGAAGGAAGAAAGAAAGAAAGAAAGAAAGAAAGAAAGAAAGAAAGAAAGAAAGAAAGAAAGAAAGAAAGAAAGAAAGAAAGAAAGAAAGAAAGAAAGAAAATTAGGACATTTTTGGATTTAAAGAAAAAAATTTCAATAGGATTTTGATATCCGGAGATAGACGCAAATTGGGTTAGGATATAAACGGTTTTAGTGTGGTTAAATATCTCGATTTTAGCCGAATTTTAAAACCGGCTAACTCAATATTTTATTAGAACTGAAAAATAATGCCTAATCCTCGAGATTTAGTTAATGGATGTCCAAACCATTGTACCATCTACGAGCAAAATCTTCACGCTTGTGCGTAATAACTTTTCTGTCTAAAATGGTGTTAGCCGTTTTTAAAAATCGATTCAAAGTCGAGCCGTTTAACAACGCTAAAATGGGTAATAACTTCTTTCTTTTGGCGGGGGAGGGAGGGGTTTATTTGTAATTTATGACCAAATTTTTATTTAATTTTGGGTGAGTGTTAGATAAACGCAATACCTGAATAATCCAATTAATATCTCTGCCAATTAGGCCATTGCCAATAAATTTTAATAGTCTCTAAAATTTGTGGCCAAATGGAAAATGTAAAAAGAGGAAAGCCAAAACTTCAATGGGGCCATAAAGTTAGAGCCAATATAAAGAAGTATAAATTAGATGAAAGAGATTGTATGAATAACATAAAGTGGAGAGAGATGTTGAAGGAACTTCACCAGAAAAGGTGAAAGCTAAAGAGAAAAGAAAAAAAAATTATTTAAGGAAAATATAATTTTAAAAAAATCGCCTTATTGTTTGAAAAACATTAGGAAAAACCAAAATAATTTTTGAGGTTCGAGTTCTAATCAGGTCCGAAGATAAAATTTTATCGAGGTGCGAATCCGAAAGAGTTTGGAAAATTTTCAATTCTAGTCCGCCCCAACCCGGTTTCGGTCGGGTCGGTTTGACTCGAACCGGTTTGTGCGGAGGTTTAATATAAACTAATTTTAAGTTCTCGAAATTAGAATGTATAGTTTAAAAAAAATTTTTTTAGTTTTTTTGTCAATTATTATATAAAAAAAATTTATATAGTATATATAAAAAAATGGAAGATGCATTTTTAAATAGCAGTGTGTATACGAAAATTTGACTGCTTTAAAGAAAATAGGAAAATTAACTGCAAGTTTTGACATTTATATTCAAAATTAAATAAGTTTTATCAACAACAACAAAAAAAAAATTAATATTAATTCATTTTTAACCACCTTTAAGATTTGAGCAATGAACATACCTTTAGAAAAGTGTTGTTAAAACAGCTCGATATGAGCCAATTTTTTAAAAAATGCTAACCCAATACAATTGCCTAAGCCCCTTGATTTAGTATATAGATAGTCTGAACCTCTCTGTCATCTATGACCAAAATCCCCAGGCTAGCGTAATATTTTTTCTGGATTAGACGTTTTAATAAAATCTGCTCAAATCGACCAGTTTAAAACGACACTTCTTTGGAAACAATTTTTAATTTTCCTTTTCATTTCCTTTTTTCCCCCCTTTTTTTCTATAAATTTTATTTTTCTCTCCATTTATTTTTGAACCCGAATTTTTTATCGTTTAAATAAGCGTTGTAGTCGAATAATTATTACATTGTTACGATATATATAAAAAAGAGCCAATACTGAAATGATTTCTCCAGAGTTTTAGCCTAAATATTTATTGGCCATTCTTAAGTCGAGTCCTCAACTTAGAGAGCTATAATAGAATAGGAATCCAATTCTAGGAACCGAAAACTAGAACCCATTTTGATTCCAATCAGCCGTTTATATCGTTGTTCAAATATTTATCAATTAGAAAAACCATGATAATTCATAAATAAACTCTATTCATTTTTTTTTCTCTTCTATCTCACCATTTTAATATCGTACCAATTTTTGTCAGTTTATATTTGCATGATGATATAATGATTGTATTAAAATTATGTTTTATTTTTTTCTCTTTTTTTATATATATTATATTATATAATATAAAAAATTGTTTATTAACGATAATCAAATTTATTATTTCTTTCTTAATTAAACCTAATATTGCAAAATTAATACTTTAATCTTTTTTTTTCTCTTTCCTCCAAAAGTTAGCCATTCGAATCTTTCTTTTCCCATATGACAGGTTTAAATTTCTCTTATCATGTAAGTTTGATTATTTTTTTTATCTTTCAATTTTTCTTTCTTTCCACTATAATATACTTGAGGAATTGATGATGATTTATTAGGAATCGTCTTCTAAATTTTTTCTACATTTCGTTGAAGGATTCGTTTATTTTGTTATCATTCCCAACTTTCAAAGCCCGTGCTGGGTTATGCGGGAACTAATAAGATGAAGAAATCTTTTCTTTTAGAACAGTTGATAAAGAATAATAATAAGAAAAATAAAAATAAAGGGCAGGAAAGAGATACAGGAGACTTAAATTATCTGAATTGAGATAAGCAGTGTTGTTAAACGGCTCGATTTAAGCCGATTTTTAAACGGCTAACTCAATATTTTAGCCAGAAAGATATTGTCTAAGCCTCGAAATTTCGTTAATAGATGTTCGAACATTTGTGCCTCCTATGAGCAAAATCTTAAGGCTTGCATAATATTTTTTCTGATAAAATATTGAGGAGTTCGCCGTTTAACAAAAATTCTTGATTACTATTTTCCCTTATTCACTTTAACCCATAACACCTTTTTTGATTCTTTTAAACGTTTTAATTAAATTTGTTATTAACCTAATGATAGTTATATATACGGCATTCATTTAATTCTTAATACCAACGAATGGTCGCATATTATTTTAAATAAAATACAAAACAAAAAAAAAATTACCAAGGCTTTAATTAATTAATTAATTAATTAATTAACTTTACTCGCCAAACAAACCAACCCAATAATTCGGGTCTTTGGAGAAGTTTTTATTCATTTATTTTTAATTTTGGATGGGATTGGGAAGGCTGGCAGGAAGAGAAAGATTCTCGACTTTGTATTAAGACATTTATTTCTAAGGGCGGGCTCATTCGCGGTAAGCGCGATGATTTATTAAGCGATGCGATAATCAACGCTGAGTGACAGTTGCCAGCTGTGTAGTAACATTTTATTGGCCGTGACTAGAGAAAGAAAAAAACTTGGGCAACTTTTGGTAATTTGATAAACAGCGACCGAATTTTATAAACCAATTTAACCCTTCCTGAATCTGGCCACCATTTTAACTTTAACCCTAGCCTCGTCTAATAGTAACGCCGGGAATCGGACCCTATTGTTAATTTTGCTATGGCTCCTTAGTATATACTCTAGATCTTTTAGCCGTAGATTTATTTTTTAAAGATCGTTAGACTAAAGATAGCAATCGGTATAGATCTAGTCATAACCTTATGTACTTAGTCAATTTAAGCTCTTTGTCGGGCGATGCAATATAAATGAAGCTCACGCTTGATCAAGCTCTTATATATAAAAAAAAAACTAATCATATTTTATAAATAGATAAATCATCAAGGTCGCTACAGAGAAATATTCCCTAAATAAATCTCGCTCTAGTCCTAACCAACAATTTCCTGATTTTTTTAATTTTTATATTTAAAAAACCATGTTATCTTTAATTTTAAAATTAATAAATTTTTTTGTTCAAAGTAAAATGATAAAAAAAAACAACTTCATCGGAAAATAATTATTATATTTTTATTTTAATGAGAAGATTTCTTCTTTTTCTTAACCAAAAAAATAAAAAAAAAATTTATTTTAATAAAAAATTTCGGCGAAAATAATTTACATATTAATTATATATTTTTTTTAAAAAAAAAATAAATAAAATATAGGAAAAAAGTAATTAAAATATTTTATTTTTTTTATAATTTTTACTTTATTTAGAAAACTGAAAAAATGATCCCTTTTTATTTTAATTTTCCAAAAATTTGCCAGTTTTGATTTTATATCAAAATATTGTAGCGTAAATTATCGTGCCATCTAACATTTACATTTAGTGTTGTTGAATGCGGCTCGTTTTGAGCTGATTTTTTAAAACGGCTATCTCAATATTTTAGCCGGAAAAAAATATTGCCCTTAAGCTTCGAGATTTCGATAATATATGTCTAGACCTTTGTTCCTTCTACGAGTAAAATCTTCCGGCTTGCGTAATATTTTTCTGGATAGTGTATTGAGTTATCCGATTTTAAAAATCGGCTCAAACGAGCCGTTCAACAACACTATTTACATCAAATGTACTCTTTATTTTGCGTATTTTTCTAAAAGTGCGAATTTGGCAATAATTTTCAAAACTGGAGCATTAATTTTAAGGCCATGTCCTAGGTCGGTTTAAGCTATTTAGTATCGACTAAGTAGCCAAAAAAGCTAAATAAAATATTTTTGAAAAAAAAAACAAGAAAAAAAAACAAAATAGGAAAAATGAATGTTACAAAATAACTAAAACAAACCAAAATAGGGTTTGGCCTATACTAAAAAGCAATTATCCAAATCTTATTTTAATTTGTTTTAAGTAT